TTGCGTGGCTGGCAGACTGACATCGACTCCATACAGGAGGCTATACGGGCGATCCACGTGTCTGGGCGATCTGACGGCCGATATCGCACCTCGCGCACGCAAACGACCCAGATGCATTCCTTCTTTAAACGCGATTGGACAGACGAGATTGATCGTGATAGACAATCCAAATTCATCCACGAAATCAGTTTAAACAAAAAATCATCGAACGATCCTTCTCATTCTACGTGTCTTCGAATAGACGGTCTAAATCGACAGGGGATGAGTATTTAAATATCGTATCACAGGAGAACTTAACCCTTGCCGACCAGCTCTTGCCAGAGAAGAAGAACTAGATGCCGGAGAAGGAGACCTATCCCCGATCGTCGCCGCTCCAGAACCACCGCCGATCATAAAAAAATATAAAATTTTCTCTATCCCGGATCGTCGCCGCTCCGGAACTACTGCCGACTATAAAAAAAATAAAATTTTTCTTCCATGCTCGGAATTCAATTCCCAGCCTCCTTATGGATTCCGAGCCTCCCTATGGCCATGTCGAAGCAAAAGAGATGACAAGTGAGCCGAAAATCGCGGACAAAGCCACACAAAGTCATCACTCCCAAAACCCAAAACCTTCTCCGATGTGCCCCTTCCCGTTTTTCGTTTCACACAATTTTTCGACCATTGTGTTCACCATCTTTTTTTGTGCATATTAGCTGAAGGAGAAACCCTAGCTGTGAAGGAGAACCGTTGGAGTTGCCGCACTCGAAGACCCCTCCCGTCAGTAGATTCGAATTTTTTATTTTTCCGATCAACCGAGATTTCCTAACGTATTTTTTTGTGGAGGTACTTGTAAAACTGACCGAAATCGGTTAAAATCGGCCAGACCGAGACGAACCACCATCGTGGGCAGCAGAGCCGAAGCTGGAGCACGACGGCACCGCAGTGCTGAAATCCTAAAATTGGCCATAAAGGGATTTTAGACACAGATTTTAAGTTTTTGGGATATTTTTGGGTACGCAACGAATATTTTGATTTTTAAAGTGAAAATTCAGGAGAATTTAAGGTCTATCAGGAGGCGTAGTGAGTAGCACAACATTTTGAAACACCGATCCGGTTAAGAATCTCTCACCATGTTCTCTGTTATGGTAAATTGAGATTTAATAATCAATAATGTTGTATTTTGTGAAAAATTAGAAAAATCTTAAAAATAATTACAAGTCACTAGTGGAAGTGGAATCGATCAGTTTATATGTGCCATAGTTTTTCTGTGTTACCTATTGATTTTTTTATACTGCTTAAATTGATTATTATTCTGTCATGTACCTTAATTATTGTTTTTAATTATTTTCTCATTTATTGACTATCTAATCATTATTTTTTTGATCCGATTGACTTATTGGAAATAAAGGTCATAAGTACTTTCTTCGTTATAGAGGTATAAAAGTTTTATTGTTTGCATAAATACCGTTTAATTAATATGTAAATATGAAATGAAATATTGATATGCGCTTGATTATTGTTTTGTTGATGAAAATCTTTATATAAAAGACTTATCGGGTATCTTGAAAAATGGTGGACGGGTTCGGTACATAAGAAACTCTACCATGAACGTTATTTTAATTAGACAGGGTTGGGAAGTCCCATACTGAAAGAGTTTGGAAGATATGGTTCACTTTCATATCGGACGGGATATCGATGTGATGGAATGTTTGGCGTCCATTACCGGATAAGATATAGAATCGGCTGGTTAATTAATAAATCTGGATATTAGGTTCACATGTGGGAGGAGGGGAAGGGGGTAGCTTAAAAAGGAAGAATTACTGATCTTATACATGAAATTAAAATATTATTTGGTTACTGTTCTTCATAAGTTAATTTTTAAACTCGTAACGGTAAGTATGGAATAAATAGTTTTCTTCACGATAAATGAATTTACTTAAATTAAGAGCTCAATTAGTTATTTTGTAATTTTTACTAACTTTTAATTTTCCGTATAAGTTATTAATATGATATTTTTACTCGACAAATGTAGTTCATCCTTTTATTAACCATTTCAAATCAAAAAATCTAAGATTCATATCTCGATTAGTAAGAAATTTGTGAGTAAATAACCTCTCAAACTCCCATTCAAGTGTTAGTAGAAGTTAACCCCCTAAAATATCTATTTATTTGTTTTGATTATCGTTTTTTTTTTTTTTTTTTATGTACCAATGTATAAAGAACATTCATGTAACCTTATTGAGAATTTAAATTTACTGTATAAGAAATGTAAACTCTTAATTATTGTTCGCTTCTACTATTTTAATATATATTCCTTCTATTAAGTTTTCGAACCTTTACAATATTACTTCAGCTCTCTATTTAAGTTTATAAGAAACAAAACATGTATTTATAACATTTCTTTCCTTGATGGTTTTCCCCATCAACCACCAAGGATTACTCATAACCTGATCCTCCAATAGGAAATGATCAAAGAGTGCCTGGGCATAAACCAACCCAAAATTGGGCAAAGACAACATATGAGCCTCCGAAATATACAACACTTGGTGATAACTTTTACTATTGCTTCAAGTCAACGAAAATCACCACCGATCCTTGATCAGCTTAATAACATAATAATCAGCTTTCACTCATCATTGTACCAAAGCAATAAACAATACTGATGAATATACATGGAATGCACAACTCCACAGCTTCTTAGAAAAATGGAAGAAGTATCCACCATCCAGCTAATGAATATTTAATTGATATTTGACTTACTAGTTATTAACATCATATTTGGATTGAGAAATGTGAGGAGAAATTATAGGAACTAAGAGATCAAAAAGAGAGAGTTATTTCCTTAAATCTGAAGCTACAAAAGCTGTAAGAGCTAATTCGCTGTATGTACTTGTATAGTCTATTCATATGTATCTGACACAGAAATAACAAAAATCATCCCTCTTATTTCTCATTTAAGTTTTATTGTTCAAATATACTCATGGAACGCTTATCAATTTCTCTTCTACATTATGGATAATGGTTGATACTTGCTACCGACAACATTTCAATAAACAATAAACACAAACTCTACAGTACATTCTGGCAACATAATTGCGCAATTACTTTAAGCAAGAGTGTAATATGCAGTTGCAGTAAAACATCAGTGTCAGGTATTTCAGGTACTTATCGGCCGCATATCATCAAGTTTCTGGCATCATATCAACTTCAAGATTGGTTATACAAATCTTGGCTTTAGGATATCTCTTTTTAGGTTCATAGCAACACTCTAGCTGCCACCAGTCCAGCAGCTAACGCAGCGCCAAATAAAGTATGCAGTCTCATGCAATAATACTTTGCCATGAAGATCTTCTCATTGTCCTGCCGGAAGAATAAAAGTTACAAATTTAGGATCAAGGTACTGTAATGCATTCAGAGCTGGGAGTGTTTCGGTTATTATTCATGCATTCTGCATCTTATGAAGGACCATATAAAATCAGAACCATTAAGGAGACAAGGTTTCAAGCATCATAAAAAGATAACAGTGCTTACCTTGTGGTTCTCTTCTACAAAGCTCACAATAATTTTTGCCATTGGTAAGGTCAGGCCACAAAGAATCTGAAAAAAAATAAAATTGTGATTCCGTCTCAACAGCAGAAAAAAAAAAGAAACAGAAAGAAAAAAAGCACGATTCAAGAGAGAAATCTAGAGAGTATTCATAAATAGAAAGCATACATGAAGTACCAATTTGATATTTACTTACAATGGAAGTTAAGGGAAGAGCTTTACTTAGACAAAGAGCAAATGAAAGAGAATAGAGTGTTGTGATTGCCACTTTTACTACACCAGATCCTCTTTCAGTTCCCAGCCTAACCTGTGAAAAATTGAAATATAATAGGAAATGATCAATATCAAATTTTCCTTCATCATGTAATAATTAGAAAACAAAGGATCTGCTAAGTATATTCACCAAGGGTGATATTTTCCCCACGGCCCTATCTCCTTCCACCTGATCAATTATGTAACATCCATGTCATTTTAATACATCTGAGGGTAAGAAAATTCAGAAAAAAAATATATAAATATTACCTGATGAAAGTGACTACAAAAGAGGATTAATGATGTTGTGAAGCCAACAAGTAGAGATGCTGAAAGAATTGTGCTAGTAATGGGAAGATGGCTCATCTCACTGTCAAAACCACCTGTTTGCTATTAAGTACATTAACTGAAATCCAAATTAATCATATTGTAGTCCAGCAAAGTTAATGACCTTGTGCTTCCCAACAGTAAGTAAAAAGCCGTAGTGGCAAAAGGTCCGAATGCTGCAAAGCAAAGCGGTTCTCCCAATCCTTGGTAACTTAATCGAAATGGCGGACACTGCAACAATAAAAAAGTAATATAAATTTCAAAACGCTGGAAGTTTTCATAAGCAGATGGATACACTAACCTGATACAATTTATGGATCCAATATCTTGGCTAAATAACAGATTTATCAAGTTGAGCTATTATCTTGTTTCAGTATGAATAATTGCATTGTCAAACAATACCAAATTAACCCATCTAGTTAAATAGGATGAGAGAAACATAGTTACCATCAGATTGACCCAAAAAATGACAATGTTGATTCTAATGAAAGCCAATATGTGTCATCTAAGACCGCGTATATAACACGATAAATCTGACTGAGTCCCAGTTATGACCATTTAGCTACCAAGGAAAATAATATATCACTGAGAGGCTTGAAGATGAAATGCAGTCTCCTAAATACTGGCAAGATTCTTCATACCTGGTATATATAGCCACAAAATATTGCAGAAGCCAGTAACAAAAGTGAACGTGTGTTCCTTGCCTCTATAGAGGCCCAAGTCAATCCCATGAAGCCAAGAGCAAATGATGAGTATGCAGCAGAAAAAGCCCCTGTACGGCTTTCCAAGCAAATTATAGATCAGGTTTTCATTGAAACTTGGGTAGAAACCAACAAAATATGCAGAGACCTAAAAGAGAAAAGTGAAACTTACCTTCCAAGCAAGTTTACAACAGATTCTTTTTTGTTTATATCTGCTCCTGTGTCAAAATCATAAACATCATTGCTGCCATGGACCACAAAAGTTTGAAAAACTTTAACAAATCAACTTACATTTTCACCAAAAAAAAAATAAATGAGCCTAGTGTATCAACGCCTTAAAAGCTTGTAGGACTTAGCATAAACTTTCAAGAACTCACCTTAAATTTAGCCAAGCAATAATAAGAACTGATGAAGCCAAGATAATAAAATACCGCCTAGGTGAAAATACACCCGTCTGCAAATATGCAGCAGCACTACCTACCTAGTCAAACAGGCCAGGAAGAGTGAGACACATGCAAAAAATGAAGTTAAATTGCATCAAGAAAAGCTGATATAAGCTGTAAGCCAGAGAAGGACCAGAAACTTGACGCCCATGAGAATAAAATAAGACAATGATAGTTCGAGAAGAGATCATGTATTTGTTGAGGAGCAAGAGGGAGAGTCTCAATACACTTCTAGCTAAAAACAATCTATAAAAGTAATTGAGCCCTCAAAAGTGATTATGTGAGGAATTCTGTCCTCCATGCTACACCAAAGATGAGAAAATTGCAACACGTCAACAAAAGCTGCTAAGCCAGGATGGTGATTTCAAAAAAATGTTGCACCCACAAGATCCAATACGATGTCATGTCCTCATAGCTGTGTGGAATTGATATAGATTAAAACTTGTTACCGAAGTGGAGAAAATATACAGCAAAAGAGAAAGGTTCATTTTCTTCTAGAGCATATCAACTAAAGATAAATTCATGGAACATAAGATCCACAGCACAACAAACTATCTGCTTGAGCAAAATTTCCATTAAAATGCATTTTCAGAGCTCAATGTTTGTCTTTGCTCGTTACGCATCAATGTTCTATCACTTCTGTTGTCTACATCATCGTCATTATCTTGGTAAGGTTATTGAGAAGGTTTCAAGGTTCAGAGATGGTGTGTGATAAAACTTTCCCCTGTTTTAGCTTATGGTAAATAAATCGTCTTAATATGTCCCAAGGAGAAACTGAAATCCATTGCCTTAGACAATACCAATAAGTCAATATTTTTTATGTATCTTGAGGTGGAATCTAAATGCATTTCTTACAAAAGAAGGAGTTTCTTCCTCATAAAAAAGTTACCTTCATGACAATTTGAATCAGAAATACATTCTAGCAAATCTCAATACCCCTTCATTTTTTGGCGGAAATTACCAACAATCAACATCTCCATACGAAACCCCAATCTTCCTTAGCAACAAATCATTAACTCATTGGAAAGCAAAGAAGCAAAATATCATAACTACATTAAGGTTAGAGTAGAAAATCAAGAAAAAAGCCATCACAAAGATAGAGGATACCTTCCATGGTGAGCTTATTTACTTGTAAGCCTGTCAAGATTGATTTCAATTTTGAACCTCGTATTATTTTGTAGCTTCTACCCCTTGTTCTCTTTGTACAGAAACTTGAAGACTTCTCTATAGAGGTTAACATTTTTATCCTTTTAGTTTGCAAAGGTCTCATTTCCGATTTTATTTTTGCTAATACATATTACAGAACTTTTATCTTTTAAAACTATCTGTTGTTGCAAATGGTCTTTGCACATATGAAAAAGATGCAGCTTTACTATGTTGGATGATGCTTATTGTGATAATTATTGATAACTTTATTATAATTCTAGGATACACTGACATCATTCATATTTTTAGCACTGTAACACA